TTATAATCAATGATTATACGTACCTAGGTAATTGAATTATTATAATATATAATAATAGCTAATTTAGCCAATTAAATTATATTTTTAGGTAAATCTTTAATATCTCTTTGATTTTAATTCTTCATAAGGAAGGCGAAGTGTTGGATAAATTTGATAAAAATGGGATGTTAGTATTACATTCTCTTTGTACATCAAATTGCTGTGGTAAAATTTCTTTTTCAGCTTCTTCGATAATTTTTGTCATTATACCATGTKTCCAGTTATTTTATTCTTTATTGTGTTTGTTTTATACTATAGTCTATAGGGAATAGAGTTGTTATTCCATCATGTGTGGTCAAAAAAAATCGTGAACGTTATCCTATGGAAAACGGGTTATATGTGGGTTTTCAAAACGCGTAATTCGTGTAATCTATTACTTAATACAATCCATTAAACATTTAACATCATAATTAATAATATACTATATAAAAAAATGATATCAAATATGTAAGTTGTTTGATTGTAGCATAAACCTACTATATACTTACCTGTATTCAATTTTATGAACCTACCTTATTTGAATTAGTACCTATGTATATTTTATTGTGAGGTTTGTTTTGCATATTTATTTTAGTTCTTAAACTATAAATTATAAATTATAATAACACATTTGTTTAAACTTTAATTAAAAGTGTATAATATATTTGTTATTTTTTATATTTTAATTTTTTGTCTTTCTTGTAAACTACCCTGAAACAAATTTTAATACTGTAAAAATATTATGATCATCTAAAGAAATTTATAACCTTTTTATAAATGTACTTTAGTAACTTATACGTTATATCAATTTTTCTCTATAGTTATTTTAATCGAGTGAAATAACTACAACGCGTGTATTTTTTAGATACGGCCCGGCGGACGGTGTGATTTTATGACGTCRCGCGTTTTACGCGATTTATAAACACCGAAGCAATTGTCCGACAAAAATTTTTATACCACCAACATTTTTCTTTTTTTAAGCACTRAATTTTCAMACAATAAAAAAAAATAKGATTTTTTTAGTTGTATAGTCCTTTAACAAAAATAATGTTTAAGATTGTTTTCAAACATTTTCCTTCCCATTTTTACAGGCTCAGGACTGTCTGTTTACAACTGGCGTGATTAAAAATGTCTTTTTTTTTTGTTAATTTAATTAAAATTAAATTTGTCATGTGTTTATTTCAATGTTATGTTTGTAATTACTATTTTATTAATTTTAATGTAATGCTTCTTTAGAAGTAATTAAAACCGCACACTAATAGTTAAGCAATTAATCAATTACCTACGTGTATCTTATCGTCATTTTTCAAGTCAAAATGAGTATTAACCGGGTTCTCACGTTTTTCGATGTACGCAAACGAGTTGTCAGTTTACCGGTAAAAAATTGTGTACTGTGCGCAACGAGTATCACCGCCAAAAATATGTTTTGAGGATGTGGGCCGCATATATACATTAAGATGACGCCACACCCCCGCATGCGTTGTCTCCATCGTACAAACGTAGAACATAACAAAAACTGTACTTGCGCGGGATAATCACTTCTCCCTCAGTACCTATTTATAGTAGAATTATCGAATTTCCACAACGGATAGGTAAGAAYTTTATCTGTGTCATAGCGTCGTTATTTTGTAGATACCTAACGTAAATGTAATTAAAACTATTGGTTTGTTCCATCAAAAAAATAACGGCRCTATGGCACAGATAAAGTTCTTAACTGTGCGTTGTGGCCTTGTGGGTTTTTGATAATTCTTCTATAAATACTGAGGGAGAACTTTTATCCCTTGCAAGTACACTTTTTACTATGTTCTACGTTTGTACGACAGAAACATTACATGCRGGTGTGGCGTCCTCTCTTAATTGCGTAAAATAATAAACAAAAACAAAAATTTGAATTATATCAATATTCTAACRGTAATATTTACTGTCCTAACTACCCAAGTGGCTAAGTATATTAAATTATTTAAAATTAATTTACCTCAACTATCTATTGTTTTACGATCATTCTAATWTGTATCAAACAATTTAAACCAGAGAATATTTTTAAGAAAAACTGCAATAAAAATAACAAGTTGTTATTATTTTATTTTWACAAAATATTCTTCTGTCAATTAAACGTGCTAGAAATTATTATCCATTTTCAAGATTATTAATTTTCTATCTGTGTTTATTAATATMATTAAAAAACTAAATAGCACAAACCTGGCTAAAACAAAGAATACATTTGTAATAAAAAAATATAAAACATAAACAATTAAATACACTTAATAAAACAATTATAAAAATATCTTAAAAACATAACAAAGRTTAAATAGTAAAATTCTACATAAAATTAATATTGTTAATAGTTAAACTTACTGATATTATCGGAATACAACGAGAACAAGAAAAGGGAGTCAAAGACTAGTACATTTTACTTTTTTTTTATTCCATTTTTGAGGAACAACTTTAACAGAAATATTTCCAACAGTCTTGACTAATCTATCAAAAACACTTTTGGTTTTAGGCAGCAAATGATGTTCTTCATTAGAAAACTTTATCACTTCCTTTTTTTCAACAACTGTAGTACTGGTATTCATCGACTCCTCRATGCTTAGCTTCTGGTAACTATTATTTGGCTCCTCACTAATAAAACAATGATTATCAATATTTTTCATAAAAACTTAAAAGTAGTTAAATGTCTAACCTGTTGGTCAATGCTAGATTCTTATACGGCGATACAGTAATCCTTAGTTTGTTCCATGGGTCACAAAAAGGATTATATTTATTAAAAAATAAGTGAACATAACATTTGAGTTCTTGAGGTAATGTACAGTCACCAAATACACATGGAATAATCTTAGGTAACCGTTGTTCTACAATTAATTATACCAAACATTACGATTAAACTATACAAATACGAAAAAAAATCCTTGGCTTACCAATGGCTAATGATTGAATATAATTCATAATAAATCTATTCCAAGGGCTGTTTGTAAAATCATTTGAAACTATAATAATTAACCAATTACAGCGATCAGATATCAATTTTATTATAGACTGATACTCAAACATCACACCTGGTCTTAAATCTCGATCTTTTAAACATAGCTGAAAAATATAAAACTTAATTAGTATAAAATATAATATACTATTTTTAGAGATTAGGGTAGAGAAAATTTAATGTTGGATGTGTGAAAAATAAATTATTAACTTAATTGTGTTAGTAAACTGTAGACATGTTCAGAACAATATCACCCTATTTAAATAATCTAAAATATTTTGAAAACTAGGAAACTAGATTTTAGTACGAAGTTCATACAACAAATATCATAATGACGAGTGATTGTAAAATAACTGACAATTTAGACTTAGACAGAAAAAAACTGTTGCTGTTTAATCAATTTAAATTTTATGGAAAATATTTTAGTWAATTTTTCAGATAATTGTGAGAATTCTTCTTTAATTAAATGTTAAAATGTTTAAAAATAAATTTAGGTCCACTTTGCAGTAAGCAAGCGCTATTTAAAAAAAATTTAAATAGGAAATTTAGAGTAATCATAATTTTTTAATCATTTTGTCTAAATTGTTAAACAAAGTAAACTACATCGAACAATTATTTAAAAAAAAGTTGTAAAAATGACATATTCACACAATAAAAGAACAATCTCYATTTGGTGAAACGTGATATTGAATTGTACATACAAAAAGTATGAATCAATGTTGTTCAAGTAACTCTTGAACTGGACCAATATAAGCTTATTTCATAAATATATATATATATATATATATATATATATTGTAAGAAACATTAGATATATATTATATTTCAAAATAAAGAAATTAACCCATTGTATACTTTGGTAAATACAACACCACTGAACATACTAAAGTAATGATTAATATCAAAAAATATGCTTTTAAATATATTATTACCTTCAGTTTGTAATCATTTTCTAATTTTTCTACAACAGCAGTAGCTGATTGTATATCTGCCTTATCATATAGTAAAAATGCATCATATCTTGTAAGAGGAAGACCATTATTGGATGCATTAATATCATCTGAAAATGATTTAAAACTTTCACAATGTGTTTTTTAACAACTCTAATTTAAAGAACACCCACCTAAAGTAATAACATTGATATCAAAATCATTCGGTACTACTGGAGTTGGATTTGCTAAAGAACATTGTTCTTTAAAATATATAATATCAGAATCTAGAAACATAAATACATAACATTATTGTGTATCTAATTAATACAAGATATTATACAAATTATATGTAAAAATAATACTCACTAATTAATTCTTCCGTTTCTTCTACAACGTCATACCTATCTATTCGTTGTAGACACTGTATAAAATGTGCTATAGTAGTTTTGGCTTCACAAAACTTGAATATTTTGCCAATTGGGTCAGTTGGATCACATCCTGATGGTATTGTGTAATTCAAAAGTGTGCACAATCCTCTCCAATCTCTATAAACATTTTAATGTATACAATATGACTATTTACCTTAACTATTAGGAACGGGTAGTTTACAACTACTAGAACCTTAAAAGCGACAACGTCAAGCGGGTTCATTAATATTGTAATATTAGTATGTATATTAACTTTGATGATTTCAAATTCCAATATAAAATTATCGATTTGATTGAACAGAAATGTGCCTATAAACTCGGATAGAGCCCTAAAAGAAATTATTACGATACTAACCGTAGCTATCGAATATAAGTTATCACAACAACGACTTGCCGCTGATATAGTTGAATCGTTTTATGTTTTTAAATTTCCACATGAGCTTGATGAGATTTCATAAAAAACATAGAAATGTTTAAATCGTGACAATTACCTACCTGGGTATGTTTTCGGGTGATGGAATGACTTTCTTGGCATTCAACATGCACGACAGTCGTTCCCTGGTCGGCAGCCGGAGCACGGAAATCGTTAAATTGACAAAGTCTTTCGAGTGTTCGCCCGATACGGTCGAACACGACGACGCAGGATCCATGTTGACATGCGAAAAAAACGTTCGTCCCGAGCTGATGACGTGAAAACGAAAATCCGAATATCTGGCGAAAAACTATCGCGTTGTCAGCGGTCCATAATGGCGAACGATCCGTATAATACGAATCGTTGGAATAATATTTGAGGTGAATTTGACAGAATAATGTGTAAATATTAATAACTATTAATAATACGCCGTTGCCCGTTACCACTTGTTGCGCTCGCGGCTCGCCAGTCGCCACTCACCAACACGTTATCAGAAACAGAGCGGGAGCGTCTGCTAGTTTCTCTTGGGTTTGTTTTTTTAAGTAAATATATCAATTTTGGAGCAATGCATTGGATTTAGAATCCCTATTATAGATATTTTTTTTTCTCTTGGCAATCGACGACCATGACGTCACGGCCCGCGAGTGTGTGATAAAAAACCGTGCGTCATCGATAAGTGGTTGGACACTTACCCGCGGTAATTCCGTGTTCAAATATTGAACAATTAATGAACATCGTTTACGCAACGAACGCGTCCGTCATTCGTTGCCATGGTTAACAAAACGAACCGCCGTCGGTTTGATCGGTGGTCGATTGCTTGCGAAACACAGACGCAATATTGAAAGCGCTTATTAACATAACGGTGTAATAATATTATTAATATATTAATAACATCACATTAATATTATGTACTATGCTTTGTTCGGTGGCGAGACGCTGAGGCGTTTGTCCGTCGGATAGATTGGTCACGTCCCCGGCAGGATTGTTCGGRAACAACGTCAAACAGCAGCCGAAAAACCATATATTGCGATATTGTCATCACTCATCATGTTGTGGGGTTCGAGCCCGTGTCTTGATCTGGCCGCACACGATGACGTCGGCGACGGTCATTATTTGAATATATTAATCGTGAGCGCCGGCGATACTCGCCACTTGCTGCAAACGCTGGCCAAACGGTACGAACATTCGTACAAAAAGATCAATATCTATGTATACGAACCAGCCGTCGACATGTATGCCAGACAAATCCAGCAAATAGCGTTGGCTCTCGAACCGATCGATCGGGTTAGCTTATCGTACAAGGTATATTCGATTTGTTTTTTAACGTCGGCGATTTTATTGAGATTGAGAAAAWAATTTATTACAATCAATACATTATAATAGGTGCCTATCCACTTGAGTGCGTATTGCGTACAATATAATAATTTGTTTTCGTATAAGACGATCAAATAGTATAATAATAGTCAGTAGATGATTAGAAGGAGATGATAAAAAATTTGAGCCATGAAAAAGACTATCTAAAAATAAATAGTTATAAAATGAGTTTTTAGATTAACTGTCTAAAAAACGATAATAATTCTAATAGTTTAACATGAAAATAACAAACATATAAATAGGTCTACCTGYTTTAAGTAAATTGTTTTTATTACTAGACATCCAACTTAGAAATGGCGTTTCCAATACCATAACAATTATGGGTCCGTAACTGGATTCATAACAAGAATTTAATTCAGATTTTTAATTTTTTTCGAGTAATTAACAAATTAAATCAATCGATTAAACTTAAAAATGTATAGTAGGTATATGAGTAAATAAGAGTAATAACTATTAAGTAATAAGCGTCATTCATTACCAAACAGGTATTATTAATTAACATTCAACAGACTATAAGAAAGTAAAAAAATAAGAAGCATTTATTTTATATTAATTGAGGGTAATCAGACAATTCGGACCGTATCCGGATGATTCAGATTACAAAATAAAATTACAGAAAGCCAACGTTTTTCGTTCGTATATACTTGGTAAGAGACGACGAAAAACGTTGCCTCTGGTTAAACTGCACATGCGCATTTCATATTTCACAATCAACGATCGTCTTTACAAAATGGGTACAGATTCATAGATTATAAAGTTCTTATAATATTATCTATGCACAGAATAGATTTAATTAAATCTATTCTGTGATTTGGGTATGGATTATGCAAGATCTATAAAAGTCTCTTTATAGATCTTGTGTACCATAGACCTATAAAAGTATAAACTAAATTATAACTCAGTTTGTTGTGTACTTTGTGCCACAGTTGGCGCTGTCGGACGTCGTTGGTCATTGTAGATATTGATAAACGAAAATAGCTTAATCACGTCTCAAAACTCTATAGATATTGAGATCTCTAGCCGTGGTCTAAATTGATGGCTAAGTCTTTAGTAAGCGACTGTGTTATTGCCATCAGTCATTGTCCTCTGCATTCCTGCATTTATAATCTGTTTAATTTACATATTTAAACTGAATGMTTYAAATTGAATTTTTTTCCAAATTAAACTCATAAATTGCGCAAARATGATCCATTTCTAGCTATTGAATAGCTAAGAAGTATATTAATTTAACATTTTATATATCAGAAATGTGGGTATTGGATTAATGTGGCCTGTGGRTATTGGATAAGGCACCTCACTTGTTTCACCACCAATTACCAAAGCTGCCATTGAATTTAACATATGTAAATATGTTGTTTAGAACTTGAAACTGTATTCATTCTAATAAATTAAAGATTATGTTAATATTAAAATAGGGACATTWAGGTTAGTAAATACATTTATCACTAAAGATAAAACTGCAATATACAAAACGACTGTCTATACTAATATTCGGACTACAATAATCAATTACAAATTTATTTATTTATTACTATATGTCTATATGTGGTTTACAAATTAAAATACATCACATTTATTTTGTTAAATCTATAATTTCTAATAAATTTACACAGTGCATATAATTAATTTGGATAGTTTTCAATTTTCTATTTTATTCATTAATATTGTAATGAAATTTCTAGGTACGTACTTGGATGGAACTCTATGGTAATACTCTTGTAAAGCCCARCACTAACAGTTATTTAATCAAAAAATCAGCTCAACTTATAGATATCATTACCGATGAAACAGCTAGGCAGCACTGTTTGCCCATTGTACAATTAGATGCACTTAAATATAAAGAAAGGGACATTATTGAAACCATATTTAAATATTGGAAAAATAATAATGGCTTCGACATAACAAGGATGTGGGATAAGAGGGTACGAAACCATTTGGGCACAAGGTATGATCACCGAAACAATGTGTTTGATTGGGATTTACATATGGTTATTCATTATATCGACGGAGGTAACAGAATCACAAATCGAGAGTACACATATTGGCGAGACACTGGTGTAGCTTACACATTTTTAGAAACGGATTGTACTGAACCTAATTATACATTTGCTTTAGCCCTATTGAAAGATGGGTGCAAAATAACTGCAATGGACTATTGTGGAGACATTATAAATGGTCCTTTTCCATCTTTTGGATTGGACTGTGAAGACAGTGATATGTTGAAAATGGGTAACATGCAACCACTAAAACGTTCTGCGGACCTGACTGAGAGAAATTTAACAAGAATGTTCTATGAAATAGAAAATCAAAAGCCTTACAAACACAAAGGTAAAACTGATAATCTCGGAGTAATTATAACTGAACTGCCAAACGTGAAGATCCAAACAGTACAAAATACATCTCCTCAAGCTAGAGTAGTTTCAGAGCGTTACTCCAGTATTAATATTAGTGATGTAGAGATCCACTTTATTCCACGCACAGCTATGACAGATTATCCTACATTTGATAGATATAAGAGTTTTTTTGATATAATGTATTGTGGCCATATTTATATTGAAAAAATGAACGTTCATATAACATCTATGATTAAAGATGGAGGGGTAGTTTTAATGGAAACTCGAAAATTTATCGTGAACTACAAGCAAAAGCAACACGATGAATTCAAACAGAAATTAATAGATTTAATGAAAGACTGTAAATGYGTGTCGTCATCAGAGGATATTGATGTAGTTAAGAGTGCTGTAATTAAATTTAATAAACAAAATTAAGTTATAATAATAGTATTTTATTTTTAACAATAGATAAACTGACATTAATTTCTGAATCTATAATCCACAAAATAGTAAGATAAGATACTTAGTTACCAACATTTTGGTTTATATTTAATTTTCAAAGCTTAAAAAATACTACTGAAAATTATAATACTATCGAATATTGTTTTATTGTTTGATAGCTTTTGGTTCTTCTTTGTTGGACAACCCAGAAAGTAAACTCTTGATGCGTGCTATAGCTCTACCAGGGTTCAAACCCTAAAATAAACATTTTATAATTTAAAATAAATAAATAAGTTCAAATATAAGTATACAAACCTTTGGGCATGTTTTGGTACAATTCATAATTGTATGACAACGAAAAACTGAAAAAGGATCCTTCATTTTATCTAAACGTTCAGCTGTAGCTTTATCTCTTGAGTCAATAATCCAACGGTATGCCTTAAATTAAAAATGTAATTTATTATAATATACATTTTTTATATTGTAAAATATTACAATAGCATATTTTCTTAACTAATAACCTATAGACAATTAAATAATTGTGAGGATGTTAACTAAGTTAACTTGGTTCACTTAGAAGAAAAAATGTGTCACATATCATCAATTCAAACGTGACACATTTAATAGTATATATTTCAATAGCATGATCTTAATACAGCTTAATTAGTTGAACTTAAACAAATACATTTTAAAATACAAGTCCACTATTTAAACTTGAAATACATATTCGTTGAATATTTAAATTTATATTACCACAAAATGAACTTGTTATTTACCTGACATAGTTTTTCTCAGCAAGTTAAAAGGATATTTTTACATTGTGTAATAGATGATATTTAATATGTAACTGATAATAATTCGAATTGTTGTTGTACTTTAATCAACAAATYAATTATTCCAATTTMGCTTATTGTAAAGGGGAATGAAGCGGCTGAGCGGAGTACGGTATCAATTATTAATCGTACCGTCATCGGTTCGAATCCCAGCCATGGRCAGTACCTCTGGGCAGGCGCCATTCTCCAATCTAGGCATGGCAGAAACCTACGGGTGCTCAAATCAAAATTCCAAAAACCCTTACCACACATGGGTACCAAACCTACAGTACCCTACCCACAACTAATGGACTGTTGCTGTGGGTAAATTAATAAAAATAATTGTAAAACTAACCCCTCCACAAATTCATAATTACGTTTAAAGAAATTACTATARCAATTTTAAACATTGTTTAATTATTTGTGAGTTTTCCAAAGTAGATAGCGAATCCACCAACACAATATGTGGGGGGTTGGGAGGGGGGGCATGAGAATATTTCATTTAAATATGTAAAGATTCTACAAATCAAAAACCAAAATTATTCCTATGCATAGATATAAAAATAAACAAGAACATTAATGATATTCACAAAAATGCACAAGTACATGCTCAATACTTAAATTAAATACAATTATACCTGCATGAGAACTGCCGGTCCAAGATATTTCTCMGAGTTCCACCAGTATGAAGGGCATGATGTAGAACAACATGCGCACAAAATACATTCATATAAACCATCCTAAAATATATAATATATATTACATTATAAACATAATTAAATATAGCGGAAATTAATKGCTTACAAGTTTCTGTCTATCATATGTATGTTGCAAATGTTCTTTRTTGTTGGGAGGTGTTACATCAGTATGCAACCAAGGTTCAATGGAAGCATACTGTTTGTAAAACAGTTTCATGTCTGGTACTAAGTCCTTGACAACATACATATGAGGTAATGGATATATTTTCAATGGCTTTGACAAATCAGCATTGACACCACTTTATAACATAATAATTATACATAAATTAGACTATGTGATTATAAGATAAAACAATTTGAGCATTTTAAGRATAAGGATTACAAACCTTATGCAGGCTAAAGTGTTGACTCCCCCAATGTTCATAGCACAAGAACCACAAATACCTTCACGGCAAGAACGCCTAAATGTCAATGTAGAATCTTCAGAGTTCTTAATTTTGATCAATACATCCAAAACCATAGGTCCACAACTGAAAGTATAAATAAGGTTGATTTTATTCAATATTATTTGATTGATACAATACTTACGAACTCAGATCAACCTTGTATTCTTGCATTTTTGGCTTCACTTCGGGAGTTTCTGGATTCCATCTATACACTTGAACGGTTTTGATTTTAGGTGTTTTATCCACAGCAACCCCATCACTAGCAGCTAGAGCAGTTGATACATGAATCTGCTTAATTTGCTGCAAATAAATTATTTACAAGGTGAGATTACACAATATTGCATAATTGTAAAAAAAATTGTACAGACCTGTGTGAAGGGTTGTTTTAAAAAACGTACAGCAGACATTTCTACAATGCCTAATCCAGCCATAATGGTTATTTGAACCGAATAATAAATTCAAAAAGACTATTTGTATTAAAGAGGAAAAAGGAATTGAACAACCTATGACAATAGTTAAAACTTGGAATATAGAAAAGAGGTTTTCAGAATAGATAACAAACATATGATTAATGTTTATAATTATTGATAATTGTTGTCGYTTAAAATCCAGTGTAGCCATTTTATCGATCATACATTTCCATGTTATCACTACGTTTATTTTTTSCTATTACTCGTGCTCTTAAGCTTGTCAGGCCAAAAGCCATTCTCTTATGATAAATTATAAAAAACAAAAGACGAAAATAAAAAATAAGTAGTATACACATTTGTATATTATAATATACTAGACGTCAGTATCTAATGTCTACAGCTGTGAATCACACACAAAATTTGTTAAATTTCATGAATTACATGTAATAACTTCAATAACTCCACCAACTCGTGTGTAATACCACCTAATTACAGTCCTACCTTTGAGTAACTTAACTTATACTTCAGACTTTCAGAATACAATGGAAAGTTCCGACACGACAACCAAGGTTACGTTGTACTTCAGAACTTTTAAAAGCCGTTTAACATATGAGTTAATGTTTACGGCTGTCGTTGTTTTGGACCATCTTTAGTTAATTTTGTACCTACCACTGCTTAAAATATATTACCTACTTAGCAATATAATAAAACCAATGTTAGAACTTATTCGAGTTTTATACATTTTTTTTTTAAAGTTATTGTCGATACAAAATTCGTAGGGTAGTAGCCAGTAGGCTAGGGGTTATAAGGTTATATCAAAAACCTTGAAAATATAATACAACGTTCCTCATAAGGTTTTATAAGTGGAAATCAAAAAAAAAGTTGAACATAAATCCACAATTTTTTTATAACCGTTTGAATTTAAATTTGGAAATGATATTCTTAAAAATCACGAAAATTGGCAAATTATTTTTAGTTAGGGATTCATAATTTTTTTTCATATCTAAGATTTTTAAATGTAACTATGGCGGACTAAGATTCTTAGTCCGTGCTATGGAGTAAGAATATGATGGCATTGATTTAAGTTCATTAGAATGTTAGAAGACAGATCCAAAAATGAAATAATTACTGTCTGAACAAGAGTGAAGAGCAGTTAGGTTTCTATTATTACCATGTCACCAATATCCAATATTATTCATTTCAATCGACTAARGCTCATTGAGTATTATCTGGCAACGCTTACAAACTTATTCTAAACAATTCYTTTCTCAGAACACTAAACATTTAAATTAAAGTATTTGTAATCTCCCTTAAATATATCATATTCGCTTGTCCAAGCGGTTTTGCGTGCTAGACAATTAATCTTGTTTAATTCCCMAAAACCCTTAACATTCCTTTCAACCTCCTATTTCCATTCTTAAAATACTAATTCAGAATCTGACATCAAAATTATAATTTCGTTTATTTTGGAAACTGGTTTTATTATATTATTTATTTATTTTTATTCTATATTCTATATATTTTAATTATTGTATAATATGATATGATATAGTCATGCTATATATGGTAGTTATTTGGTAATAAAAAAATAATCTCAACTATAAGAACTATGAACTATTCAACTCTTCAAGTGATTTTCCAGAAAAAAACACTATAACGAAATCTAGGTACAAATGTTATACTTCTAGCCTTCTAAGGTATAATTTTAAAATTTTAAATAAAACCTGGTAAATTTACTGTGGATAAATAACTGATATAATGTAGAATTATAAACATTAGACAAGTATTATAMGATGTTRAAGWATGTCAGTGATGAACGCTACCCTTACGCCTCTCTTTATCTGCAGCCGCTTTAGTCGGCTTTAATACAGATATAATATGTGCTATAATACCATATAAGATGGTATATATATCTTYCTTTGTACATACATAAACTATTTAATAACTTTATAATTTACGGCGACCAACGTACACATATAAATTTAATAACGATGTTCAACGGCAATTTTGAAGTGCTTTGATCATTCTTATACGGTAAAAGTTAGCTGTTATATTTTAAAATACTTCTGATATTTGAATTCACTAAATTAATAAATATATTAATAAATCTAATATATAATGAACAACGGTATAATTAATTCCTATACTATATCTTGAAATTATTTACTGTTACAAGTTATACAATACAATTACACGACTAATTCAATACAGTATTTTATTATATTACAGTCCTATACAAGTCTCTAAAAATTTAAAACGCATATTAATAAATATATAATGGGTAAAATATAATAAAATAAAATATCAAATTCGAGCAGGCTTATCAACAAATGAAGTGTATATTGTATTCATAAGAATAAGTTTGGTAATTACCAACAATTTAAACTGTATATATTTACACTCGTATCAAAAGCTTTTTACGGAATCGGGTAAATTTATAAAATCGCTGTTGATACTCGAAATTGAATCTTGAGTAGAAAACTAAATTTTTTTTTTGTTTCAATCGCCATTAAACGTCAAACAATATTTCGACGTCTAGCCACCATTAAATCATTTACATGCAGTGCACCACTGTGCATATATTATATTCCATATATATTATATGCCTTAATTGCAACTTGCAAGGGAA